TCCCAAAGGCTGCAGCCATGGTCTGGTCCAGTGAGGGTTGGCTGTCACCAGAGGGCAGGTCAGGACGGGTATAGTCTCGGCTCTTGTCATTGTTGTACTTGACGTTGAGGCTGGTGAGCTTAGAAAAGTCGATGCGGAGTGTACAGCAAGCGTTATAGATGTTCTGTCCATCCAGCGACTGCCGGGGAGGAGGAGAAAGTTGTAAGTGGCTGGGGCCCTGGGGCTGAAGAAGGCAGGCAGGCGTCCCTGGGTACCCACTCACCAGCTTAGCATGCTGGGCGCTCACGGGTTCGGCATACTGCAGCAGTGCCTGGAACTGGTTGTTCTTGGTGAAAGTGATAATCTTCAGAACTGTGCCAAACTTGGAGAAGATCTGTCAGAAAAGCAAGAACAGTCAACCTCTGCCCAGGGTCTGGGTGGAAAATGGGGGCACATGGACTCCACCTCACCTGGTGAAGCACATCCAAGGTGACTGGGTAGAAGAGGTTTTCCACGATGATCCTGAGCACTGGACTCTGGCCAGCCATCGCCATCCCGGCATCCACGGCAGCAGCTGAGGCAGCCAGTGACAGGTTCCCCGACTGAACTGAGTTCACTGCCTGCAAGGCCGCCTGGGCCCGCTGTTGGGGGGACAGCATGAGTCCCACTGCCCCAGGCTCACACCAAGAGCCCTGTCCCACCCCAGACCTGGGAGGGGATGAGGGGATGACGCACTGCCTGGTTGGGTGAGCTGTCGGTCTTAAGTTCCTTATGGTTGGAGAACTGGATGTAGATGGGCTGGCCACGAAGCACAGGTGTCACGGAGGTGTAGTAGTTCACCATAGTGTTGGCTGCCTCCTCTGTGTTCATCTCAATGAAGGCCTGGTGGGGGTGGGGGCGTAAGCCAGACCCAGACCCCTGGAAGAAGCCTGGCACCACACTCCTAAAGCAGGCCTAGGGCCCTTCCTGGGATGTGCTCACATACCTGGTTTTTCCCTTTCAGCATCAAGAGGTTGGTGACCTTCCCAAAAGGCAGTCCCAGGGAAATGACCTCGCCCTCGGTGACATCGCTGGGAAGCTTCCGGATATGGATCACTCTGGAGGGCACACCTGTACTTCTGTTGTCACCTTTGAACTTTTTGCTGTCATTTCCGTTTGCTGAGAAGAAATGTATCAACGTCTAACACAGAGCACCTGCTAGGCTCTCACACAGCAGTATTCCCCCCACCTCCTCAGAATCAGCTTCCTCCCTGACAGGATCCAAGCAGAGTGATCTCCACAGCTGGTGCACCCTCACACACACAGCTCCCATAATAAGTGCCCATGTATGAACCAGGGCTAAGGTCACAGCCCAAATCATTTCACCCCAGTGTTCTCAAAGAAGAGCCTACTTGGGCACAGAGAGGGCGCCCCCATGGCAGGGACGAAGGGCTATGGTCAGCAGTTACCTGCAGAGGCCGAGTTGCTGCTCATGATAAAGGGTCCGTTAGTGACACAGGCAGAGAAGAGCTCGTCCGATCCCCGCTGGAAGAGAGGGGGTGCTGAAGTGGGGCTGGAGGTGGCCTGGCACATAGCTGCAGACACCATCCTCCCAGAATACCTTGCTGTTCAGATGTGAAGACACTGCCCTGTACTGTGTCTGTCCCACCTCAAGATGGCCTCACAGTCCCAGATGTGGCTGCTTGGGGGGGGTGGGGGGGCTGACAAGGGATTAAAATGTCACTCCCATCTCCAGGTTCTGGGGAACGCTTACAGGGTCTGTGGACAGGCCTCAGGTCAGGTGCCTCAAGGGCAGGCCTAGCCGGCCACCTTGAGACTGTTAGGCTGTCTTTATTCTTACAAAGCTGCTTGCAAACTTGAGAACAAAGCCCCCTTGTCACACTGCAGCTATTCCCTTGGTCTCCGGAGCTCGGCCTATTTTCCAGCTGTGTGAGGACACCTGAGCCGCAGCCTCATCACTCACTGACTAGAAACACTACCTCTCTGTGAGCCAGCAACACTATCTAGTGACAGAAAACAGGGTCTGAGGGCAGCTCTAGAACTGCTCATCCGTAGGCGGGCTCCTATGACTTCTGACCTGCCTGTTTTCTTTCCAGAAACAACCTATTTACTCCCGAGTCTCGATCTAATTAAATCAACTCCCCGATCACGTTAGTCTGACTCTGGGCTTAGAAAGCAGGCAGACAGGCATCCCTCCTGTGGACCGAGGCCCAAGGACCGGACTACTTTTACTCAGGGGGTGAGCTGTATGAGGCTGCAGTGCAGTCATGCAAGTGGAGACTCAGGATGCAGCCCCCACCCAGGACAGACTCTGCTAGGAACAAGAGCGTGAGCACCAGGAACTTGCAGGCTCTAGGACCTGTTGGGTGTTGGGGCAGAGCTGGGACAGGACTCCCATCAACATGAACTAGGACCAAGGTTGGAAATCAGGGGAGGGTGTCTCCCCCACCCCCACTTCAGTGCCCCCTCAGGCCTGTAGCAGGAACAGGAAAGACCAGCTCAACTGGGCCTTGGCTCTCAGGGTTACGAGCCTCGCCCCTTCTCCCTCAAACTGCCTTTTTCTCAAGGACACCTTATCTTTGCCCTTCCTCCAAACTGCCAACTTAGTTGTTACTCAAACAAGCGCAACCATCACCCAGGGCTGCCATCTACCACAGGCAGAGCGGAGGTGCTCTAAAAGCCCTCAGAATCCCCTCCCTGCCACAGGCAGGTGTCAGGACCTACTGAAGGGAGACGAGGTTTACAAACTGCTCTTCAAGAGGATCAGGAATGGCCACATCACCACTGGTCCCTGCTATGTAGGCATATCCCCACATCCCAGACCCCTGGCTAGGCAAGCACCCAGAAGCCTCCCACCCCTACTTCCCATAGCCCAAGGCTGTGAGGGCTGCTCAAACCCAATGGTGCTTAGAGCCAAGGAACAGAAAGTTAAAATTGCTGGTCTCTGAGGACTGGGGTCTAATATAAAATGAAACATTCTGGGCGTGTCATGACTGAGCTTTTCCTGAGTGGACACCCAGGCCTCAGTGGGGACAAAGCCACCAGGCAGAGTGCACCTCAGCCCCAGAACCCCTGGTGACACCAAGGGTAGGTGAGTCTCACCTGTGTAAGCCTCAAGAAGGTTCCTGCCTCTGGACTGGGAGTTCTGGCCCATATCCCTGCCCCCTTTAGGCTCACAAAGGTGACTCCCCCAAAGCTGGACAAGAACCAGGACTATGTGGCTCCCACATGCTGACTGCACAACCTTAAAAAGGGCATCTGAACTGCTGTCTCTGACCAGTGCCAGGTGGGCCATCATTTGAGTGGCAACACTCCTGACTCTCGTGTTCCCATGGCAGATGGCCTGGTGCTCCCACATTTGTAGGCAAATTGTGACCACTTGTCTGTCTACATTCCCCTAGGCCCCCCTTCCCCAGGACACAGGTCAGATCTCCTAAACGGCAACTCCCCCATCCCCAGAGCACAGGGACACTGAGACCACAACCAGGGCATTTGGGGAGACCCTATGGTACCTTACCCAAAGTCAATTAAGCATCTATTGGAAAAGCCCCCAAGCTGTGTGCTTCCTGCTGGGAACAAGGCACACCTGCTCCCAACAGTATGTTAAGGGGAACCTTTGCTTTTTAATCAGTAGCTAAGCATTGTTAATCTCTGGACACTTCTAACTTATGGCACAGCTTGTTCTAAAGCTGGGGTGATGGTCAGTGGTGACCAGAACCCAACCGTGCTGCCCTCCTGAGGGCAAGTAGCCCCCCACCACCCACCCACTAGAACCTCGAGTTTGACCTGCACAGGTCTGATTCTGAAAGCAGCGGTCGCCTGGGACTGGCCAGGAAGGACTACTCTAAGGACAACCCCAGACAGAGCTGCTCCAGCTGGAAACAGGCAAAGCCAGGAGGATTACAGGAAGCCAGACATTTTCTGTGATGGTTACAAATGCTTCAGATCAAAGTCCCTCTCGCCTCCTCCTACCACTGAACAAACAGGTTTTATCTGCAGGAAGATCAGGATAGGCAGCCTGTGAAGACAAGACTCCACCTGGGAAACCCCCCCCCGCCCCCCAGCAGCATGGCTCACTGACCAACACACCTGCAGTGGACTCCCCAGCCCCCAATTGCTGCCAGCACGCGGTACCAAATCTGTAGAAGTATTCAGTTGGCACCAGGCATCCCTGGATGCCACTTACTGCAGTGTACCCAGGCTTGGTCCTCACCTGAGGGGAGAACTGAAAACCATCGTGGCCCCATTTCCTGTGGAGACAGCCACTGCCAGCTCTGTCCTTTCTACAGCTTAAATGTCCCAAGTACCAAGGATGGCATATAAAGGGGACACACCTTCATTTTCTTTCATCTCAAAAGAAGCAATCAGATGTGCAGACCAAAAAGTACCCAAATCACAATGGCATCAAAAGTAGCACCTCTGGCCCTAGCCGGTTTGGCTTAGTGGATAGTGTTGGCCTGCGGACTGAAGGGTCCCAGGTTTGATTCCAGTCAAGGGCACACACCCAGGTTGTGGGCTCAAACCCCAGTGCGGGGTATGCAGGAGGCAGCCGATCAATGATTCTCGTCACTCATGCTTCCTTATCTCTCTCCCATCCTCTTTAAAATCAAGAAAAATATATTTAAAAGTAAAAAGAAGAGTAGCGCCTCTGTACCCTCCTATCCCACCAGCCACCTCATAAACTACTTGGGGTACAACCAAGTTTCAACTTTTTCTGCATCAAACCAACGGTACTTAGAACACTTGGCAAATATCCTCAGTCCCAATCACAGGACTCTCGCCTGGGCAGGGAGGAGGGGTCCCAAATTAGGGTCAAAGGTGCATTTACCACCAAGAGGTCACTGAACTCACTCTGTTGGAAGCAGTGCCTGGAATTAGCTGGATGCAGGCAGGGCAAAGGAAAGGTGTCTGAGAGCCCAATCTGCAAACTGCCTGCCCTATACACACTGTAGACCAGGGGTCCTCAAACTTTTTAAACAGGGGGCCAGTTCACTGTCCCTCAGACCGCTGGAGGGCCGGACTATAGTTTTAAAAAAAAAACTATGAACAAATTCCTATGCACACTGCACATATCTTATTTTGAAGTAAAAAAACAAAATGGGAACAAATACAATATTTGCATTTGCATGTGGCCCGCGGGCCATAGTTTGAGGACCCCTGTCCTAAACTCTAAGGAACCCCCACAAGACTTGCAACCATGGGAGCAATGGGCAGCAGCAGCGTGTCCCGGGCTAACCCCCTAAACCTGTCTGCAAGGCCCCTTTTACTCTGACTTCCCAGTGAGCCAAAGCAGCCCAGCCTAAGCTATCTGGCTGCTGCTTCTCTGCTAAGCCCTTCTTTGTTTCACTGTCCCAGCTTTAATAAACGT